AAAAATGAAGCTCTAAAACGAAAGAATATACAATGCTGAATTTTTTATATGTTGTGCAAATAAGGCCAAATTTTCAAGAAAAATATAACATACAAGCCTTTTGGTCCCAAAACCATGAAAATCATAAAAAAATCTTTTTTAATCAATGTTTTTCAATGTCAAATCCAGAATAAACCCCATATTCACATTTTTACTAAGAACTTTAGTGATAATCTGTAATTTGACCATTTGATTCATCAAAGGTCCAGTGGTTGAAAAGTTATTTGAAAAAATGATGATTTTTCTGACCACCCTTTCACGGAATGGGTCACCCTAATGGCGAAATAAAGAAATGAGGGTTCAACATTTTTCGATAAGGAACAAATTTACCAAATGTTACGAAATTCCAAGACCTATTCTAAGTTTTTTCCATACAGCAAAGTTTTTTTTTTATCCTCTGTAGAGCCATTTTACAACTGCGTTCATTACTTAGGAATTTTGTTGTTCGACCCATATTTAATTTGGTGCTAGTCACATATCTTACCACTATTAAGGTGTGATACACATTGGTTGACATAGCATGCAGCCCCACTTAGGCTCAACTCGTCTTATAAAGTATAATGCCCTGTTGATATTGCTTAGCCAAATTTCAAAGGGTTCTAATAGCCCTTTTCCAAATATTGACATTCTTTGATTGAACAGTGCTCCGCAATTGCAGAGTATATGTTCAGGAGATTGGTTTTCAAAATGACAAAAAACGGCAGTCGCTAAACTGAATTTTTCCAATTTTATTGAAGTGATATCTGCTATGCTGTGTGACCAGTCATTAAACCAACCCGAAGATCTGTTTTCCTAAGATTAAGTAAGATCCGAGCTTTGGCAGCACTGGGTGTTATACATCTTTTGGTTTGTCTGGATGTTTCCGTGTAATTACAATTAGATTCTACCATAGACGTTTCCCAAGTTCTTAGTTCCATCCTCAAAGCGCACTCAGGGACTCCACAAAATGGTTCCGGACCGATGAAGCTCGATGCAGAAGCTTGTCTTGCCACACTAGCTTTGATCGGCATGCCTTAAGCGCATTAAGAGCTTCTTGGCTGTCTTAGAATATACAGATCTTAGCAAACCTGTATTTCCTCATTAGGCAGATATTGATTGTTTGAATTTCTGCTTGAAATATTGTGGGACTATGTCCCATTGGTATGACTTTACTGACTGCAGGGCCATAGACTCTAGATCCAGTATTTTCACCAATTTTCGACCCGTAGGTGTAAAATACAATAGATCCTGACGTATGTTTGGCCCACCAGATTCCCATATATGGCGTCTTGATTTAAGCACTTTGAAGGGAACATCATAGTTTGTCTTCGTTACCATCCAATCCTCCACATTATTAACAGCTGAATTCAAGTTAAAATCCTTAAGGATACACAAATGCCCTTCCAGATTGCCATCTAAAATTTTATTATGACTTTTGAACTGTGGGGAACAGCATCCAAGGCAACAGATGGTGTACTTTTCATTGCCCCGGACATTGGTATAGTCTTTGCAGTTTTCCTAACTTCTTTTGAGCGGTTACCTAATTTATATTGGGCCACCATATCAGTGAATCATCACATTGATCGAATTATTGCTGAATATATCCAGTATACCATATTCGGTCGTAGTCCTTATGTTTTCCCCACAGCTTTCCGCTAACTCAATTTGAACCCCATCTACACGGTAAAAAGTTATCACATCTAATACAAATGCTCTTGCACTTGACTCAGTCAGTTATGTGGCACTACGGATCGAAGTAATTTATCATTGATTTGCTAGTTATTTGTGTTTTGAAACAAAGTGATTTGTTGTTGAGAAATATGTACTGTATAAAACCTTTCAATCAAAATGATTATCATTTGAATCAGCACCACTGTTTTCATCCATTAAATTTGATTAGTTTTGCTTTTGGAAGCAAATGTCGCGAAGATGGCAAGTCAACAACAAATGAAATCAAGCAAGAGAAGCGATAATTCTCCATCTCTACCCGAAATAATTTGCGTTCTAGGATGCGTGAGTAATACAAAATTGTTGCTGTAGTCAATAATAGTGTCTTCAAATATTTTCGTTTACGAAACAGTGTCAAACTTATCAAATTTATTGCTCAATGACTCGCCTTGCTTCTACTAAAAGCCTTGTGATATTGTTCAATGTCACTTGGGAACATGTGATCTGGGTATGATCATATTCTGAATAATATATAACAAGGCTTGCAGTATGAACAAGGCTATATATTTATTTAAGGGGAAGCTTACCGGCCCGAAAATAAAAAAAATATTAATTTTTCTGAAAATATTGGTAAAATTATCAAAAATCCAAGAAAATCAGTTTCTTCTTAGATTTTTGTCGAAAATTACATGTAAAAATATTTTTTCTATCTCATCATGAAAAAAAAATTGGACTTTCAGAAAAACCAAAAAGTCGATGTTTTGTGGTTTTTTGAGTTCAACTTTACGAATGACTAATAAAAAAAGTTTTTGCACGTGAATTTTCTTTGTAAAAAAAAAAAAAAAAAATTTATTTTTTTAGATTTTTGATATCTTTTTTCAATATTTTTAGAAAAATCAAAACGTAATTATTTTTTTGGAGTGGTGAATTAAATCCATTTTCAGCAAAAAATTAATCCAAGGATAAATTATTTAAACTTAAAGTGATAGATTGTTAGCAGCAGTATGGTTGACATTTCGAGTTCAAAGCACAGCACATCAACAACAATGTGCAATACAATCTAAAATCTCTTCCAAGGTATTTGCACATCGAATTGCAATGTTTGGCAAGTAGTGCAAATTCAACAGCAAATCACATGACGACTTTTACCGTGTAGAGTAGGCTGTACCAACATAGCTTGTGTTCTTTTGGTGAAAGGTACTATGACAGTTTTTGAAGGGTATACATTAGACTGATGCAAAATTTGAAATTTTCGCTCCACAGTGCTGAAACGGTTTCAAATCAGGTCCTGATGAGCCTCCCAAAATTTAAACTCATTTGGTAAGAAACTGACTTGGCACAAACTATTCGAAGTTTATATGGAAATTACTATGAGAAAACCAAAATTTTTGATCATTGTCTTCTACCTATTTTGCATATTGCTTTTTCAGAAATTTATATAACTATTCTTACGGGAAATTTTCTAAGCTACAACTTTGCGCATTTTAGTTTTTCAGCCAAATATCAAATTAAATTGTTATTAATTGTTTAAGAGATTGATAATCTTATGGCATGATCAAGCACCTGTTCTGTGGGCAACACTGTATTCTGCAGTGTGACATAGTAGCCATGATATTTGTGCTCTATTCTTCGCACCAGAAACACCAATGTTGCCTACTGAACAGTTGAAAGAGCATAATCATAAGACATCAGTGACTTGAATCATTAATAACTTTTGTTCCTTACATTTGATTGAAAAGTGGTTTTGAACAAACTTGTAGCTGAGAAAATTTACTACAATTACTGCTATCATTTGACTGCATAGTGATGTGGTGAATTGTAAGATAGATATGAACAAAAACATATGTTTTTCTATAGTAATTCCCATATAAACTTGAAATGGTTTGTGCCAAGTCAGTTTCTTACTAAAGTAGCTCAAATTTTGGGAGGCTAATGAGGACCCAATTTGGAACCGTTTAAGCACTGTGGAGCGAAAATTTCAAATTTTGCATCAGTCTAGTATAAATTTAAGCCCTCTCTCCTACACAACTCGAAGATCATGTTGAGCGCAGTTTGTAACCGTCATATTTTCCACGTACCATAATGGCCATATCAATGCATAACCAATCACCTTGAAACCTTGCTCCGCCAAACTTTTAAGGAGTTCGTCCACTGTCGAATTCACCTTCAATATCGAGAAAAAGCAACCACAGCTACTTCTTTGGCTTTAAGCGATTAACTAGCGATTGTAGAGCCGTTATCGTATATTTACCTAATTTCTAAGAGGTAACCTCGGTAAACTTGTTGATTTGATGAAATTATCTAGAATTTTTTTCCATTGTCTTTAACAGAACAGATGAAAGGCTTGCTGTATCGTTAGTTTGGTAGCAACTAATGAAAAAAAAGCGTATAAATGGCAAAATATAGCTTGTTGACTATTTTCATAGCATTGACGTATTCAATGTTGACAGCCTTTGGATTACTTCCACAAATGATAGAGCGATATGAGTGAAATTTAAAAATCTCTTATAGTAGTGTAAGTGTGCCAGCATTAGTGCTCCCGTTTTTGGCCCTAGAGCCATACTCAGATTTGAAAACAAATTTCACGGTTGTATATGCGTAGATATTGGCAAAATCTATGCTCTAACCATGCATCGAAATACATTTGGTAAAGAATGATGTAGGTAGGGTCAAAAAATGACACACTTACCTTACCTACCGAATTCGCCCAAATCTCAATCTACTAACTCCATTCACGGCCAATGAAAACGACCCAAGTTTAGTATACTCATAAATCACATAAAGTGCAGGAACTCAGCGATGAATAAATTTGCCTCATGTTCCAGGAAAAAAAAAATGCCGAATATGAGAAAAGTAAAGATTGGATTCACTCAGTCTATTGGTACTGTTCCTCGACTGACTAAAGCTTTCGTAAATTTTCCTCATTTTCCTTCAGATATTTTAGATTTCCCACTGAAAAACATAAGGCATATTTACTCATCGCTGAGTTCCTGCACTTTTGGCGATTATGGGTAAGTTAAACTCAAATTTGGTTCGTTCTCATTGACCGTGTACTTTTAACATTTTTTGCACAAGCTCGTATTTCAACTGGTGGGTGGTGGGTAGCTGTCATATTCGCAATTTTTTTTAAAAACTGATGCACCCTAATGCTCACAAGTTCTGATTTAAATGCCATTTGTCTTACGATTTCTGACTCCAATGGTATTTTGCCACAAAATCTATGAAATCAATGGGCTCGAACCAAAATTGAAGATCGATGGACAGCTCGTGTGGTAGTTTTTCCCTCCCTAGTTAAGATAGAATAGATATAATACCTATTACTGCGGCCGGCGACTTGGGCGATCCCAGCTCGTCGCTGAATGTGCGCTCCTTGAGCTTCCGGTGCTTCATCATGATGGTGGCGGCCGAGTTTACCGTATTGGAGGAATGTGTAGTGGTGGTGGTGGCGGTACTGGCAGCACTCGTACCGCTGGCTGCGCTCGTGCTGGAACTGCCCTGGGATTCGATCAGGTCCAGTTTCATCGCACGTTTGGCCAGCTCGGTATCCGTCACGGTGCTGGTGACGGTCGTCGGGTCCAGCGTGCCCTCCGTTCCCGACGCGCCGGACGGTGGTGAGGTGGGCGAGGTCGTCGACGTTGGCGGCTTGAGTGGAATCGGAATTTCCAGATCGATCGATTTCTGACTAACAGCACTTTGCGACAGTGTTGCACGATTATCACAGATTTGTCTTTTGGGGTCGATATCCATAATTGAAACCATGGTTTGCCAAAAGAGGCCAGTGAGCAACGGACGCGTAGAGGCTACTTTTCGACGCGACTGCCCGGCCGTTGATTGTTTCTGCTGCTTTTGCTACTGGGATGCTACTGCTGCTGCTGCTGATGATAATGACATTGATGATAGCTATCACGATGATGAGTGTTGTAATGGCGTAAAAATCTGCTCACTATCATACTACTAGACCCGTCAAAAGCACAGCGAAAAATTTACGGAGGCCTTGCTTCACTTTGGTACAGTTTGGTAGTCGGAATACTGAGACTGTTGTTCACTTTAAGATTGTTAAAATGAGGCTGCAAATAACAACCGTTATTGTTACTTATATTAAGATGATTATCGTTGGTACTTTTAACACTAGGTTTCAGAGGATCGTCTTGCGAGATGGGTCTCGGGTTATTGTTTTGCACTGATTTGGCTTCATCCCTTGCGCTATTCTCACAATTGTTCGGCGGGCTGGAAGAACAGTCCGTCAGTATGATTTTCGGTAATGCTTCGCTCTCCAACTCTGCAGCTTCCAGTTTTAACTGATATAGATTATCGACAAGAATTTGCAATTTTTCCGCTTTTTCGTGGCACAGTTTCGACGGATAACTGTCCATAATACTAGACCGAAAGATGGGTTTACGACGAGAAAATCTATCGGACACTAACTGGTCAAACACTTCCGTACTCGATTCCTGTACTTTGAACACTGAACTACTTTCACGGAACCATTCCCGCCGATTGGTGCTGAAAAACTTCTTCTCTACGAACCTCCTTTTCACTTCTTCCGCACGTTGCGTGCACGCGTCCAGGTAGTCCAAATGCCACTGAATACCTTCGTTATAGTAACAATTAGCGTATTTCCTAAAAGGTTTTAATCTTCCGTCATCGCTTTCAGACACTCTACCGTCCTGAGTACACTGTCCAACATAACTGAATGCAGTATCATCGCATTGTTCTTGACCTAGCTGTCGCTCACGGTTGCGAACACGTTGCTGCACCGTTGCTGTTCCATTGATGGTGCCACCTGACGAGGACGAAGAACAGGTGGAATAAGTCCCATCGTAGTCACGCGTAAGTGTTCTGTTTTGCTGCCAGCTGTTGAACTGACCTTGACCAATGCCGGCGATATTCGCACGCCTCAGATACTTTCCATTGCGGTCCAGAATACGGCGCAATTCAGCATAGGTTTTTGCGTCCCGCAGTGGGTGGTACTTTTCCGGTATTAGTTCACCCTTCAGTGGAGCTTGGTTACTTGGAGAAGCTCCGGGTGGCACCGCGGACGGCAACGATGTTGTTGATGATAAAGACAACGATGTCGACGAGGAAAATCTGCTGCGATTATTGATGCTGCCGTTGAGATGGTTCTGCTGACAGAGGCGGGGATTGTTCCGGCGCAAACAGGACTCTTCGAATCTGGAAAGGTAAAACAAGAGGATTATTGTAGATTTGGCTGCTGATGTTCCTTCGGAAATTGGCTTGTCGGCAGGCGGGTTGGTCTAGGTCTAGGCTGTATTTTGAAGTGAAAATAGATGGACTGGAGGTATTTAATCGGTCTGGAGGGTTAATCAAAGGTGGTTTTGGGGTATTTGGTATATCAATCACGTGGAGTCGGTTTTGAGAGTTTGTGGAAGTTGGTCAGGCAGAAATAGATCGAGTTTTGTTTTGGTTGAGCTTCTAATATCGCAACTACGTTGCATATCTCATACACACTTAAAAATAACTACTTTTACACGAGACGTAGTCTATATTGGACGTAAATCATAGAACGTAAACAAACATTTCATGTAAAATTAAGTGTTCTCAAACCGAAACATCAGCTAGTCGACGAAGAGAACGTTTGATTGAATTGATTTTCACGTTTCTTTCAACTGATTCTTATGTCAAAAGGCCCGCTTACATGTGTCGGTCTCAGGGAACCGAAATTTACATGACTTTTTAGTAGTGTGTATGGTTGATTTTTTTGTATCGAATTCTAGTTAATCTGATAGCTCATTTCATTGTTCCAAATACAGGTTTGTTTGGTTTTCTGGAATGCTTAACTACTGGACAGGCATGGGTTATTCCCAAGCAACACGGTCTGTAATAAACGGGTTTACATAACTTATATATGAAAATCTCAGCTATTAAAAATTAGATATAGTCACAGCTCATTTATAACGAAAAAAGCACCAGAAGTGGGATCAATATATAACATAGGGGAAATGGCTCTAATGTTGGTCTATGGATTAGTCCCATCGCTAAAAATCTGCTATTCATCAATTTTATCTAGATGAACGCGTCATTGGAACGGTACAAATTGATATTTTTGGTCACCATTGAAATTGTATTCACTCTTAGATAAGCTGGATACAGTAAATTGAATTATAAAAACAAATTCTGGATAAAATTCCTCAGTTTTTAAAATATTAATTTTTTAGAAAAAAAAAGTAGAATATCTTCATTTTTTAATTATCTTTCTTTTCTCTTCTACATAACGTGTATGTGATGTTGAAAGCATAAATGAAATGTATTTTCATTCCATATATTGCTTTATCGGTCAACCACATTGCAATGCAATTATTCAAAAACATTGAGAAATGAAATAATTTTTTGTGAAAACATGTTTTATCACGAATAACAAAATATTGCTTGTATCATATATTGAAGTTTTAGTTCGGTATTGCAACTCCCAATTACTTGTTTATAACTCATTTATTACTGATTGTATGTGATGAAAACTTACTAGCCTTATATCACAGAACATATGTGGAACTCGATCATCAAAAATCGACCCCATTTCAGTGGTTTCAGGTGGTATAGTAGGACATCGATTTGTCAAATTGATTATTCCAGCTGTAAAATGAAAAAAAGGGATCAAGGAGGAAGCCAATGATATTAAAATAATTCTAACGTGGTTTATAATTCGATGTCTTCTTAGCACACATGAACTCATGTTTTAGTATTGCTTTAACCCTTTACGTTCATTATTTATAATTATATAGCTAGTTTGAACAAGTCTACCACCCTGTTAAAAACAAATTAATGTTTGCATTAAACATGTTTTAGTTCATGAGAACAGTGATAAAATTATCATTTGCGCATTTTTCAAAAGTTTTTTGATTAAAAATGGGTAAAGTATTTATTTCAGCAGATTTGTTAAGTAATATCCTATCGATTGGCGTATTTGGATTTTAATTTCATCTATAAATAACAAAGTTACAAGCATTCAAAACCTAGCACTATTTCACCACAGATATTTTTTGATTTGTACCTCAGTAAAGTCGACAAAGACGTAGTTCTACGTCAAAAAAGTTACTAGAAACTGCTTGAACTATTTTTTTTTCAAGCAACAATAAGTATTACTTACAAACAAAAGTATTCGTTAGGTTCTATATCGATATTATGGTTATTAATAAATAAATCCCTAATTCTATTGAACGTAAATTGTATATTATTAAAAAAAAAAAAAAAACTAATAGTGGAGTGTCGGCCTAAATAGCCGTAGTTTGGGCCCATACAAAAATTCAGCAATCGACTAAATTTTCAATAGCGATCAAAAATATCCATTTGTACCGTTACAATAACGCGTTCATCAAGATACAATTGATAAATAGCAGATTTTTAGATCCATAGACCAACATTAGAGTAATTTCCCTTTTTTTCTAATGCAAACGTTAACATCCATCCACGGACTATTTCGTAATGTAATCATAAGTAAACTTAAGCCCAGTGAAAAATAGTCCAATATCACAGACAAAATGGTAGTTTTATTACACCTATTCAATCGTCTTAACGTTAACACGAAATCTTGGAATTGTTTGCATTCAATTACATTCAGTTGGTTTTTTTAGGGGTATTGTGACTATTGCATATTCGTAATCTACCTAACAAATGGAACCGAAATCCAAAATTTCATCAAATCCGAAGCACTGGAACTATCTTAAATAAGCGTGATTACCCCAGCAAAATTCACCATCCCAGCGCCCCTCGGTTGTACCAACCGGTGGAAACTAACGATTTTAAATTCGGTTGTTTTACCTCGAAAAATATACCGATTTTTATGTATCATCTGATAGAGCTTCATTTTTTGAGCACAACGATATTTTTATCGATCCCGTAGACGATCATCACGATTTTTAAATGAAGATTTATATTTTTGATCATTGACACTAAATCTATTCGTTGACAGCTCCCTCCAGTACAAAGTCCCACCAAGGGGCGCTAAGATGGTGTTTTTTTTGCCAATGTAACCTTACTTATTTAAAATAGTTTCAGTGTACCAAAATTGATGAAATGTTTGATTTCGGTTCCATTTTTAATGCAGATAACGAATATGTATTTATTTCATGTACGCTTTAACAACCCAATTGGCTCACTACTTGACAATCCTATTGGTCCCAAGTACATCTATAAGTGTTCCCCATTCTAGCCGAAATTTTAGTACTACACTATGTTTGTTTTGATTCGCTATGAAAGTTTGACAGATAAAATGAGGAGTTCGTGGATTTTCCTATGTTTCGAGGGGTGCATCGAATAGCTTGGGACCGAAGATAGTACCAGAGCTGAGCCAAAAAGTTGAGACCGTTTCTTCGGGACCTTCTGATCTTAGAGTTACCTCTATGCTTGTACCCAGTATGGGAGTGAGCTGTCAATTTGTGAGATTTGTGTTAAACAGAGAAGTGGCTACCCTGCTTTAAATCTTGATTTACAAATCGAGAGGGAAGTAAATGGGATCGTAAAAACATCGCTGTGCACAGAAAACGAAGCTCTTTCAGATGCTTCTGAAGTAACCGATATATTTTTCCAAAATTAATGAACCCAATTCGATATTTTTTTCAAACTCATGGATTTTTAAATCAATATTTAAAGCAAAATAATAACTTCACACTAAACTATCAAAGCGAACTGTCACGCTCCTATACAAAGTCCCACCGAGGGGCGCTAAGAGGGTGATTTTTTCTTGTGTAATCGGACTTATTTAAAATAGTTCCAGTGTACCTAAATTGATGAAATTTTAGATTTCGGTTCCATTTTTAATGCAGATTACGAATATGCATTTACCTTAAAACCCTTAAACAACCCAATTAGCGTAATTGCCGTAATGAATCCAATCCAATCCAGGTCGAAGAAACGAAGAAATATTGCATTTGTCCACAGCAACGCCCTTGATTGGCTTCTGATTGACTTGAAAATACTAGTTAGAAATTCCATTAAAAAGTCCCCTGATCTAGTCGAAAAAAGAATCTCGGCATTACCTTGAAAATATACCATTCGCCTTGTCGGCCAAGTGGTATCTCTTTATTTCCATGGTAAAATCCCATAAGCAAACGTCAGTCTGTATGTGGACATTTCCTTACCCTTTTACTCCTATGAATATCCCATATGATACTATCAATCTTTGCATGAAGAAACGGCGGCTCGCTGGTACCATGCAGGGGGGGGGATAGATTAGACAAAGGCCGGCAAAAGGGCTCAAACGGACATGACTTGGGGTGGCACAAAATCGTCAAAGTTTGAACATTTTTAATCTGATGAATCTTATTTTTTTTATGATCCAAATTACTTAAAAATGCGTACAGGGATGCCAGATTTGAAGACATGCCTTCAATTTGAAGACATTTGAAATTATGTGAAGGTATTTTAATCCTGCAGACATTTAAATAATTTTTGAAAATGTTTGAAGACGTACTGAAACTGAAGAAAACATCCAAAGGCTTTTTGAATGCGTTAAGGAGACACGTGATCACCTGGTTATAGAAGCTCCTTCTTGAAAATTTTGGTTAGGAGCTGTTCATGTTCTTCTTCTTCTTCTTCTTCTTCTTCTTCTTCTTCTTCTTTGGCTTTAATACGTCTCTACTTGAGCTTTGCGCCGGCCCCAAACTTAGTTTTTTCGAAGTACATCCACAGCCGTTAATTGAGAGCTTTCTAAGTCTGTACCATTTGTGCATTAGTAGGGGCTCCTGGGGTAAAATGCACCAGTTGAGGAAATCAAGCTGTTTTCCCGTTAAAATTAAAAGCAACAATGAATATCATGCATTGCATAAATTCTGTTAAGCATTATTTAGGTGTTTATATTCGCAACATACATGAAAAGTTTGAAAAAAAAAAATACCTTAAAAAGTGATTTTAGAAATTGATAACATAATCTGGAAATGCCACCAAACGGGGAAAAATGCACCCATGCTGGGGTAAAATGCCCTAAAACAAAGGGGCAAGACACACCATAATGATGAGGTAAAAAGCACCCAACAATGGGCAAAATGCACTTCAATAATGAGGCAATATGACTCTCTTTGCCGTTTTATAAATGATCATGACCAGTTGAGGCAGAAGAACGTCTTCGTTTTTGACAGCCTCCAGTTCCGATCGTAGTGGAAAAAGGCCCATACTTCATAACGTTGCGGACCTTTCTGAAGAAAGAATAGAACGAAAAC